ATTTTGTTATTAATGATAGTAGAGAGAGAAAAGACAAGAAATCATATGTGTAACTCATTATAAAAATAAAATTAATTAAAAAAAATGTCACACAAAATTTTATTTAAATTACTTAAAATATTTTAATTAGATAAACTACAGATGACGTGATACATCTAATCTATCTAAGTTTTTCTCTCTTATTTATGGGCAAAGAGAGAATTTTTTTTTTTAATCATATTTACAAGGCATGTGTGGTGAGGCCTTTACCGTTAGATATAGATGGGATCTAGAGGCTAACCTCTAATATAGTTTTAATATTCAAATCCAACATGATTTTCATAATATTTTTATTCATTAATATTAATAATGAACGTTAACGATATATAAACCAAACTTTTAAAGTATCATTTTTATTTTTTATTTATGTGCCATGAAATTTTGAAACAATCCTATTCAATTTAATGGCTTGTTATATGTGAACATTGTTTAATTATGTATTTTTTTTAAGTCTATGATCCTTGTTACTCTTTGATATTAATAAGTGTAGTAAGTAACATATGAGATGAAAAAAAATAAAAGAGATAAAAATTTGTTTAACAATAATTGAACCTTACATATGATTATGAAATAAATTGCTATTAGAAATTTTTTGTATCTCTATAATCAGATCTGGTTTATTTAAATTAATCGAGGTTAAGGTGGCTTCTGAAAATAAATTGGTATAACAAAAAAAAAATTGAACTATTCGTGCAATATGCACCACACAATGTTAAATTTTTTATGTAGGTTAATTAGTTTGGTTTGGTCAACTTTTCATCTTCTAATTGTATTAAAAGAAATCAACCATAATGAGATCAGGAATAAATAAACAAGTGTGCGTGCGTGTGTGTGTGTTTCGATATGAAATAATGTGTTGCGTTTGAAAACTAAGTGCCCATATTAAAATACTTAAATAAATTAATAAGAATCTTTCATCAATATGGAGACAAAACAATATGAATAAGGTAAACCTTTTTCAAAAAAATAAGCGCAAAAATAGACCAAATAAATGGAAGAATGAATTTCTATAAGAATATTAAGTGTACAAGTCTGCTACAGCCTACAATATAATCTTATTATATTATTTTTCTAAAACATCATGAAAAAAAGAGAGTAGGCACTGATTGCATGTTGAAAATAAAGAAAAAACTGAATGGTGTGGTTAATAAGAATGTTTGGTGAGATATGTTGAAAAAAAAATATAATTGTTTCATTATTTTTTGTTTAATTGCTTAAAAAGACCCATCAAAACTGATTTTTCAGCAGACAGTTGGGTCCACAAACTGAGCTAATGATAATAATTAGATTTCTGATAATTTTGCTTTTCAAAAAACAAGTTTTAAATATATCAGTGTTGAAAATTGTGAATTCAAGAGTTTAAATTGTAAATAAGGTGTAATTTAGTTTCAAATGCAATTTTCAATTAGCAACCGAGAGTTTTATATACAATTGCTTAAATTGATATTTGTAACTCATTTTTAAAAAAATCTATTTAAAAAGTTAACTGTCATTAATTTAACTTGTTAAAAATTAAATGTAATTTTTGTATTTCTTGGTTTTGTCTATTTTACTGACATATTATATATATATATATATATATATAATATTTAAGTGAATTTAATTTCTTGGTTTGATGGGTTAAGGCATGTCCTTAAATTTAAAAATTATTTACAGAGATATTTACAGACCATTTATAAAAAAAAAAATCTTCATATCAATAATAAAAATTACAATTACAATATTAAAGTTATATGTTAAATTACCAATGGTTATCCTTTTTTGTTGTCAACTTGGACTGATGCTGATTGCTTAGAAAACTCTTAATCACAATGCACATCGCTTACTCTCTATTAAGTAAGTTTGGTTAATTAAGGAAAGGAGAATGATAATGTAACCTCATGAAGAACAATTTATCTTTATTGTTTTTTATTTTGAAGCTAAGCATATTATTTATATCTACGTTGATTATATAATTTAAAACTATCTGTTTATTCTTGTGGGCGGCTTGCAAATTTTATGTGTGCGTGCCCATGACTTGGAAAAATGTGACACTCATCTATTTGAAATTAAATGAAATATTATTATTATTGTGTGTCTGTATATGACGTGTATTACTTCACCGTAAGACTATATATGTGTATACACCCCACTTGGCATGAATTAAACTTTGAAACCTGACCGTATACTTTTATACGCTTTTTTCCCTACTAAATTTATAAGAGTTACATAAAAATATTCTTTTTCAAGTGAATAATTACCATTTCTTTTAATCAGAAGAGAATTGGCTACAATTTTTTTTTAGCGCACCTTGTATCTTAAACTTGCGCGGCCCAACATCCAGTTGAGAGGATTTTAATGATTATAAATTAATTCAAATTGAATTGAATCAAGATTCTTTTAAGTGAAATCTCTACCATCAATTTAGTTATTATTAAACTTGAGACCTTTTATTAAGATGTATTCCCTCACATTTCATTTATAAGTCATATTCTAAAAATTTATTTAGTTCATTAAAAATCATGATATAGCTTTTTATATAATATTTTAGTATTTTTAAAATTATCCTTCTTAAAAGAGAAAAAGTAATGTGATATTGTTTTTTAGATTTGTTATGTAAGAACATATTTAAAATTTTATACACTTTTATTCCTTATATATATATATATATATTATTAATATTGATGAGGTTAGTAAAAATAATTTATAAAGAGAATCAAAGGAGTGTAATTTTTTAGTCAATTGAACTAAGTGTGTGATAATAATTGTTTATAATTATTTAAGAAAAATAAATAAATAGAGAGATAGTACCAGACTTTCTTTTCTGTATGCCCTCACAATCAGGAAATAAAAGATGACTCATGTGATTGATAATTTAATAAATTTAATTTTGAATTTCAGGTTCCATTTTGATTTTTGTTTCTTGGGATCCGATGTCAAGAGACGCATATATAAATCATATAATTAATATAAATGTTGTTATAGTTGAGGATGATTGGATGACCATCAGATGTGAAAATATGATTAATTTAATCTTTTCCACGCCAACAATTTTCATGGTACGTGTTTTTTTTTTTAAAGGATATTAGTTAGATTTTTCCATTGAGCGTCAGCGTTTGAATTCGAAAAACGTACGTGAGCCATGATCACATCAGTTTTTTTTTTTTTTCCCAATAAAATAAAATAGAATAAAACATGCGGTTGATTCATATATATATATATATATATATATATATGCATGCACACGTGTGTGTGCGTGTGTGTGTGTGTGGGGCTTGGATGAATATGACGCTAATTGATTTGATTTGAAAATATTATAAGTGAGGCGTGATGTTATTATTTGACTTTATATAATTAATGTATAAAAAACAAAATTAAAAGAGTGTGTCGTGATACTTATTTTGCCCTTCCTTTGCATGAATTAAACGCAGAGACATGTCCAAAAAATAAGCAGCATCCAAAACTGTACAAACAGAACAATAGAACAAAAAAACTTAAGTAACAACCACATAAAAGTTTAAAAAATAATAATAAAATATTTTTAAATTATATAAATAATAATCTAATTTTTTAAAATATCATAATTTTATTAAAATTTTATAAATTTCTATATCAATAAATTTTAAAGTGAAAAAATTACTTTACTCTTATTGAAAATAACAAACCCTAATTATAACTTTTAGTTATGGAATAACAATTTTTATTCTGTGAATCGTAAGTGTTAAATAAAAAATTACAACTTATTATATATAATTTCTCTTATTGAAAAACTAACTTTGGTCACAATCTTTTTTTAAGAAATAGAAACTTTTATTCTTTAAATCATAACAGTTGAACAAAAATTACAATTAATCAGGTGTAATTTCTGTTATTAAAAAATAAATTATCAAAATAACAAGCCTCAATTGCAATTTTTTAAAGAATAACAAGAATTGAACAATAAATAGCAATTTGTCAATAAAAAATAATTTTTTTAATTTAAAATTTATTGATACAAAAGTCTTGAAAGACTTCAATGAAATTATAATATTTTAAATGATTAAACTGTTATTTATATAATTTAAAAAAATTTAATTTTTATTTTCCCTAAAAGGTTTAGATACATTTCTTATTTTTTTGAAAAAAAATTTTTTAATATACCAAACATGCCGTTAAAGTATACTCAATAAAGTCCACCGCAATCATCTGGAGAGGATTGGCTAGTAGAAACTAGAAACAATTGTTTAGGCTCAGCGAAAAGGAAATTTATGTTTTAAAAAAAAAACCCATTGTTCAAGCACAACAACAAAGGTTTAGTGTTGGGCCTCCAACTGTCAAACTCAGTAGGCTGAAAATCTTCGTGGCCCCATTTCTTTATATTAACTTAAGAAGTTCGATTTTTTTTTAAAACATTTTCTAAAAAACTAGAGAGAGAGAGAGAGAGAGAGAGAGAGAGAGAGAGAGAGAATTTTCTTTATTTTAATTCCATAGCTTGGCATCTTAAAAGAATTTGAACGTATTATCTCATTTTACTTAAACTAATTCAAACTCTCGTTATATAATCTGTTGTTGTTAATAATAACCTCAGGAGTACTTTAAAAATACATTTCACATACTTGTTTAATATAACTGCATGTTTCAAAAATTAAATTCAAAATCTCAAAATAAATTATTCTAACTCTTTCGACTAGTTAAACCAAACTAAGTTAAAAAAAATACAATAGTCTTAATAATCTTATTTTATCATCACATGAAGTTCACCATTTTTTTGGGGGAAGGATAATATGTCATTTTATTGTAAGTTCTTCAGGTCTTATTTTAACATTCTTATCAGTTTAAAAACAAAACTCCGAGGCATATTTCAGCGGAAAATTCAATCATAAGAGTACCTTAGAATTATTACTATTATTATTACTGTGACTATTACAATTTTATTTTTTTAAAAAAAATTATGCTTACAACCGTTATTAAATCAAATAAAGAAGATCCCAAGCACAAAGCAATTCAATACCTAACATTCGTTCCAATATATAGTCAAGCTTCAATCTTTTACATCCAAGTTAACAATCACCACCAAATAGCCAAAAAAAACCCTTACTAATCCAAGGTACTAAAACACTAACATGAAGGTTAAGCTGCTTTCATCAACACACAAACCAAACCACAATAAACTCCAAGTCCTCAACTCAACATGCCTGGAAGTTGGAATGCTCCATTTGAGAAATTTCTTGAGTATAAACCAAAATCACACACCTTTTTTTTTTTTTCCTTAGGCGAGTAAACCCTAAACCCCACTATTTGAAACACATTATATACTCAGATATCATAGGCTACTCACAAAGCTAACTGATGCAAAATCACCAAAACATGTGAAATGGTTTACCAGTAGAACCATCCTACATGAACAGAGACAACAACACATTGAGAAAGCGTATGGAACTCAAACTTTTTTCTCTCTTTCTCTCTGGCTCTGCTTCAAAAGCATGTAAATGATTTCTTATACTAGAAATACCCATTTATTCTTTACTAATTACTATTTAGTCATAATGTGAGGAGCGAAGCAGCCTAGATAGGGTACTGGTAGAGCTGGAGGACCCTCTTCCAAGATGGCCTGCTGCTGATATCATCCCACCAAGCACTCACATGCTTCCTGTCCCTTATCATATACCCTTTCTTCATCTGGTTCACCAAATAATGCCCAAAAGGAAGGTGGCTAAGATCAGCAAGGCTGAAGAAATCCCCGGCCAAGTACTTGCTCTTTGACAGCCTCTCCTCATAAATGTCCAGAACCTTCCCAAGCTTCTCTTCACTCTCCTGGATTACTTTTGGGTCAGAGGGGGTTCCCAATATGGGGGCAAACAGAGCATGAAGAACCAAGTTGTAGACTGGAGGATGGAAGCTCTGGGCTTCCACTTCCAACCATTGCTCCACAAGGCCTCTATCTTCTATTGTCTTTCCCAGCAAGTCAGTTCCTTGGGATTTGTACTTTTCAGCATAGTACCTAATTATTGCTCGGGATTCTGCAGAATTGAGCTCAGAACAATACATTTAACATTGGTACAGTCACATCATCAGGTAGCACGTAAAATCATATGGCTATATGAAGTGAAGTAAATTTCTGAACCTTTATATGACTACGATTAGGAATGGCAACGAAGCGGGACAAGAATGAACCTGCATTTAACATTTTAAGGCAAAAAAAAAAAACTTTTTTCTTCCCTTGTGTCTCGAACGAGATCAACGTGGTTACCTCATTAGTTATTGTTTAGATTCCATCCTTGAAGTCAAAAAGAAATTCCTAACTGATAACTGACTTATTTTGTTCCACTAGAAATTACATATGGAGTGACCAATTTAATATTAAATTTCATATAAGAGCAAACCGATTCCAAGGGGAAAAAAATCAAAAGAAAACGGGTAGAGAAGCGGTCTTTTTTTTTTGGGGGGGGGGGTGTTAGGGTTTGCTAACATTTTGACCGGAGTTCCAAAAACCCAAGTTCAAAAGGGTCTAGACAATGTCGTGCAAAATAAAGAGAAAGATCGAGCTTACAATTCCAAACTAACTAAATGGCACAAAAGAGAGGTATAAAAAAAAATACACAAAATTAAGTTTAGGGCAAACCATAGAGAGTATAATCCCCATCTTGAATCAAAGGAAGCTGTCCAAATGGCTGCAAAAAAATTATGAGAAACAAAAACAATCATGCATGCATTCGAAAAGAAAAAACCGTTGAAAACCTAGAAACAAAAAAGGAAAAATGGAGTGAAGAGATTTCACGAACCTGCAATTTGAGGAAGTCAGGATGCTTGTGCTCTCCCTTGAAGATATCAAGAAGCACCACTTCAAAATCGATCTCCTTCTCGATCAGACACAGAAGGACGCGTTTCGGGGAAGCGTAGGTTGGGCCATACACCTTCACCGCCATCTTCTTCTTCTATCGGAGATTTCCGATTAGCAAGCGAGACTCGCGCAGATTTGATGACTAGATATAGATCGTTTCTCTTTTGGCTTCTTTACTTCTCTAGTGCAGTAGAGTATTCGTATGCGCGACGACAGCCGGTATGGCGTTACTGAGAAGATATTTTAAAGTGAATTTCCATTCTTGCCCTCCTGTTTTGATTTTTTATTTTTTATTTTATTATTTTTTTTTTTTGCTCTTCCCGCTTAGTCTTCTCTCATTTTTCTTTTCCTTCATCACTACTGCTGCTTCTTCTTCTCATCATCATTACTATTATGAAATTATTATTGTTATTCTTCATCTTTTCTCTGATTTCAATCAAAAACTCCTCTTAAAATAACTACATTTTATATATTCATACGGACTTGAATTTGAGATATAAATTTTTTAAATTAATTATTTTGGTACATTATTCCTCTTTGTAGAGATATGATTTAGTCAAAAAAAAAAATTGCTAATGGGAATATGATGGAAGTCAAGCAGCAAGATGCAGTTTGTGCATTGAAGATAATTAGTTGAAATATTCCAAAACTCTACTATTTTTAAATTGTATATGTTGTGTATTAACTTATAACTATAATCATTATGCCTTATTTTTCATCATAGTTTCAAATGTAATGGATCTTGTATACTATACCATCAACTTTATTTCACATTTTAATAATGATATGGGGGGCAATTATTATCGCGATGACAATGTTATTCTGTATTATTTAGTAGCTTTTTGTCATATTTCTTGATGGTTTCATGGGGCTTTAATTAAATAGGATTCTAACATTTAGGGTTGGTTTGTTTAAAATTAAAAAATAAGTAATTTTTAAGTAGTTTAGAGATTTTATTTTGTATAGATTTTATAAAGAGCATACATTATTTTATATTTGATTACAATAATAAAAAAATGATTGTTAGTTAATTATTTTTAAATTTTATAATATATTCCTTAATTTTTATTTACAAAAATGATTTATTATTATATTATTTAAAAATTTTATGATATTTTTATATATCCTGCCTCTTTAAAACATTCTCCCTCATTTACTGCACTAAATTACTTTCAAAAGCTACTGAAAATAATTTCTTAAAATAATAAAAAAATTTCTTTTTTTTTATTCTAATTATCTTTAAAAGTTTAAACAAACATAATATAAAAACTCAAAAAATATATTTTAAAAAAATAAGTGATTTTTTTATGAAACAAGCTAAGCTACAATAAACAGGCTCTTAATCTGATTACTTTTCACCATTTATTTTGTTACTATTGCAATCATAGCATGCTGGAATCCTATTGGAGGAGATTGAAATCCTTTTCACAAGCAAGGAATCAATTTGCTGTTCTCACTTATTAGCTAGGAAAAGGAATTCGGATCCTCACAAAGTTTCAGGGCTTTGTTTGAACATCTCCAATAAGTATAAGAGTTGCTGCTTTCCTAGTTAACTTTTTGTAACTTTACAGTTTCTCAAGTTTTGGCTTGCCTTCCTCATAAAAAAAATAATAATAATCTTATTGGAGCAGTTGATTTCCAAATTCCAAAACATAAAAATGTTTCCCTCATACTTCTTTTGGGTCATAATATAAGATATTTTTTAAAAGTTTTACTTGATCCAAAATGTAGAATATTAGATGATTTTTATAATTATATTTTCAACTATGACTCTACTTCATCTGTGATCACCCCAAATTTTTCATTTAAGCAACTTCTAAGGAAATTAATGGTTTTATAAGAACTTATTGTGATATCAGTCAAGGATGTTTGAAATTTAATTTTAGATTTAACTTGTTGGAAATAGTGTGTTATCTCACAGAAATTTGACTAAGAATTCCTGCATAATAAAGTTTGGCTTCAAATTCTTGCAGAGGATATGAGCTAATGGAGTAATAACGGTTTGAAATCTAAGATGACAAAAAATATATTGGATGGTCATGGAATGAAAATATGGCCACTGCACTGAAAACTTCATCATGCCTTCTCATATACTGACTTCTTTACTTTGTTCAATATCTCAAATTATGAAGAATGGTTTAACTAGAGCAGCTAATTGGTACTTTGTTCATTCAATTTGCTCTATCAACTACGGTTTAAGAAAAATAAATACCACTAATATCGAAAAGAAAATGTTTTAGCTAGTTGTTTCTGTCTTCGTATACACACCTCATTTATGACAAACCGAATAATCATTGCATTCCAAGTTCCAACTATATATTGTACTCCCATTTTTGTACGGAAACAGCTTTCTAAAGACTAAAATCACCACCAAATATTCATTCTCGTATTTAATCAAGCTTCACTCTTCACACAAAGTTAGTATTTACTACACCACTAGCTAGAAGGTGAAGTTGCTTTCAACATAACATGCTTGGAATGCTAATTTGCCTATTTCAAAGAAATTTCTTGAGTATAAACCCCACAATATCAAACGCATTACATAGTGAGATATCATTGGCTACTCATAAAGCTAACTGATGCAAACTCACTAAAAATGTGTGAAATGGTTTAACAGTAGAACACCCTTAAACAAACAGAGAGAGGATGACATATTGAGTAAGAAGGTGCACAGAACTCGACTCTTCCCCCCCCCCCCTCTCTGCTTCAAAAGCACGTAAATGATTTCTTACCCTAAGAATCTATGCTCTCACTTGAAATACCCATTTCTTCTTCACTACTTACAACTTGCTAATAATGTGGAGAGCAAAGCAGCCTAGATCGGGTACCAGCAGAGCAGGAGGACCCTCTTCCAAGATGGCCTGCTGCTGATATCATCCCACCACGCACTCACATGCTTCCTGTCTGTTGTCATGTACCCTTTCTTCATCCGGTTCATCAAACAATGCCCAAAAGGAAGGTGGCTAAGATCAGCAAGGCTGAAGAAATCCCCGGCCAAGTACTTGCTCTTTGACAGCCTCTCCTCATAAATGTCCAGAACCTTCCCAAGCTTCTCTTTCACTCTCCTGGATCACTTTTGGTTCAGAGGGGGTTCCCAATATCGGGGCAAACAGAATATGATGTACCAAGTTTTACACTGGCGGATGGAAGTTATGGGCTTCCACAGCATTGCTCCACAAGGCCTCTATCTTCTATTGTCTTTCCCAACAAGTCAGTTCCTTGGGAATTGTACTTTTCAGCATAGTACCTGATTATTGCTCGAGATTCTGCATGATCGAGTTCAGAACAATGTATATCAGCTTGGAGTCAGATTATGAAGTAGCACAAAAAATCATATGGTTTTATGAAGTGAAGTAAGTTTCTGGACCTTTGCGACTATACATGATTAATAGGGTAAAGACAATTGCAGTAACAAACTCCGACTAGGAATAGCAACAGAGCAGGGCAAGAATGAACCTGCATTTAACATTGTAAAGGGGGGAAAGCACTGTTTTCTTCCCTTGTGTCTGGGATGAGATCAATTTGGTCACTTCATTAGCTCTTGTTTACATTCCATCCTTGAAGTTAACAAGAAATTCCTAATCGATCAGCATATTATGCGTTTGTTCCTCTAGAAATTCTATATGGAGTGACCAATTTAATTTCAAAATTCATGTAAGAGTAAATCAATTCAAGGAAGAAAACCCTTAAAACACGCACACAAGTAGAGAGACGAAAATTGGGGGTTTCTCTGACATTTTGATCGAAGTTTGAGAAATCCCAGTTCAGAGGGGATTAGGCAAGGTGATGCAGGTTGAAGAGAAAGATTAATGCAAATCGAATCGAAAGATCGAAATTAAAATTCCACAGTAACTAAATGGCACAGCTGTTTTGGCCAAAAAATAAATAAATAAATAAATAAATGGCACAGCTGGCATTAAAAAAAACACACACACACACAAAATAAAGTTTAGGGCTCACCATAGAGTATTATCCCCGTCTTAAATTAAAGGAAACTGACACAAGTCTAACGGGCCAATGGAAAACTTTACATAACCCAATTAAGGTGGGGAAGTTAGGCCACATGGAGCACAACCCATGGAGTGAAAGCAAGATGCTTGGAGGAGTCGATACAAGCCTGTGTCTACGGATCTATATCAAGCTATGGATGCCCAATGATGATTGAACAATTCATCATAGATGCATCCAAAGAAGATTCTCTGATGATAATACATTTGTTGCTAGCCCAACCTAATGAAGAGTCTATATTTTTTGAAGAGAAGTTCAAAGAGTAATCAAATAAAAGTCTAACTATAGAGTATAAGTTGATTTGAGTCCAAGCAATGTTGAATTGCGAAATCAAGTCCATCTTGAGTCCATTAATGATACAAAACATGTTACAAGAAGCTCAATCTAGCAAGGACTCAAGCCCATGCGTCCAACCCATCAAAACAAAGAAGATTTATAAAATATTTGAAGCATTAATTGCATGATCCCTTGTAGAAATTGAAGATCTACTTGATTGATTAAGATTTGACTTTTCATGTGATCTCACAATTGATTCAAGATTTGATTTGTTTCTTTTATTATTGAATCAAAATCATCTAATTTTCAATTTCTTGTTTTCATTAATTAGAAAGATTGAGTCTTACATTTAATTTTCTATTTCATTCTTGTCAAGATTGCTTTTAATATTTTAGAAAATTTTAGTTATTGTAATCTCATAATTTTTTAAAAAATACAATTCAAAATTATGTAACTAAATAGTTATCAATATTTTTAAATTTAGGATTTTAAATCTTGTCTTTGTCTATAAATAGGCATACATTTGTCTCTTATAACTTGAGACACATTGAATAATTTTTATTGTTAAAATTTGAAACTCTTGTGAGTATTAGTATTTATGTTGATATCTGATAGTGAATGTAAACATGATCAAGAGCTTGATGTAGGTGATTTGGAATATCTTTTCCTAATCTTTATCTTTTCTCTTCTTTAATCTCATGATCTTCTTTTTGGCCTTCCGATTGTTTCCCTTGAGAGATTACAAAAACCTGCAATGTGCCTTTGAAGAAATGAAGAAGCACCACTCCAAAATGGATCTCCTTCTCGATCAGACACAGAATCACGCGTTTCGAGGAAGCGTAGCTTGGGCCCCACACGTCAACTACCGCGTTCTTCTGTCGGAGGTTTCCAATTAGCGGGCGAGT